TCTAACATGTTATCTTTGTGTTTGTGTAGAAATGCATACACGGAGGATGAAGGTATATTATGATTCTTGTTTTCAACAAATCAATTTGTTCATCAAATTCAAAAAACCCTTTTCCACAATCCATAAAGAAGACGCAAGTTACGACACAAGATGGCAGAACAATGATTTGAAGAGCAGAATTTTCAAATTCAGCCTCAATTTTTACACCAAACAAATAACAAAACAGAGAAGAAATCGGACCCAACAACTATGATATGGAATAGCAAGGAAATAACCAAAGATTATCACAAGCAAATAATCAAAACCTTGATTAGAAGATGCGATTTTTAGATTCAAACAGCCCGTCGAAAAGCCTTCGATTCGGAAAAACCAGCTCAAAACCTTGATTTGAAGATCCCGTAGACAACCCTTCGATTTGGCGTCTGGATCTGTGTTGATTTTGGGTTGTGGGTTTGTGAGAGGAAATTGATTTGGGGTTGTGGGTCGAGGAAGAGAGAGGGAGAGGGAGAGGGTTGAGAAATGAGAAATTCGTTTCCCGTATTTTGTAATTTTCCTTGTTTTCTTGTATGATTTTTCAAAACGATGTTTTAGTCATTTTCTAGTTTTAGTTTTTTTTTCCATTTTTCAAAACGTGTTTTCGAAAATAAGATAGAGAACGTGTTTTCGCTGTTTTGAAAAATTAAAAACAGAAAACGACAAAGAGAACGGGGCCTAATTTTTCGAATAACAATGGACCTCCTCGAGGCAACGGAAAAGGAAAGAGGCCATGGTGTGATCACTGTCAACTTCACGGGCACACTCAGGAAGCATGTTGGGAGATACATGGTAAACCACCAAATTGGAAACCTTTCGGAAAAATCTCGACACTAGAAAAGACCAGGAGGAAGCCCGTGGTTTCTCAGCCACTTCGGAGAAGGATAAGAATGCTATAGGTCTTGAAAAAAGCTCCGGTTTCAGAAAGGAGCAACTTGAATAACTGCAAACTATTCCTGCACACAACGCAACAAACTTAAGCCCATCAAATCGCACTGCTTTGGTAGCCCAAAAAGGTAATGCTTTTATGCCTTGACTATAATTTCAATCAACCAAAGTTTCGGGATCATTGATTTAAGAGCTTCAGACCATATGACAAGCCAACATATATTATTTTCCACTTATAAGCCATGTTACAACAATAAAAAAACTAAAATTGCTAACAGATCCCTATCATCAGTCGCTGGAATTGGAACCATTCAAATATCCAATTAGGAAAATGACTAAATATTCAAGTTGTATTGCTATGTTTACATCTTGTGGCTGTGAGTTTTAGGATTTACCTTCGGCGAGGATGATTGGCAATGCTAGGGTGTGTGATGGGCTGTACATCTTTGAGGATAATCAGCAAGAGGAGTGCAATCAAACTCAAGCTTGTCAATATGTTAAGCACACTCGTATCTCTTATCCCATCCAACCATATAAAAATTCCAAACCTTTCTCATTAATCCATAGCGATATATGAGGTCTCTCATGGATAACAAACATTTTTGCGTCTCGATGGTGTATCGCTTTTACTGATGATCATACATATTTGTGTTGTACCTTTTTAAAAAAAAATCTCAAGCTACCATTGTTTTTCAAAAGTTTTATGCCATGGTTGAAACCCAATTCCAGACCAAAATACAGATTCTTCGTACCAACAATGGTTGTGATACTTTAACTCTATTTAAGTCCATACCTCATAACCAAAGGCGTAATTCATCAAAGCTCTTGCGTTAGTACACTCCCACAAAATGGTATTACTGAAAGAAAAAACTGTCATCTCTTAGAAATAGCTTGAGCCATTATGTTTACTAAATCTGTACCCAAATAATTTTGGGGAGAAGCAATTCTCACAGCTTCATACTTAACAAATCGGCTACCTTCCAGTGTCCTTAACTACCAAACTCCTATCCTAATTCTCTTGACACAAGCCCCACTAGTAACAAACTCGATCCTAAGCCACTAAGTGTATTTTTCTCGGCAACTCCCCAACTGAAAAGGGGTAGAAGTGTTATAATCCTTAAAAAAAAAAAAAAAAAAATAATAATAATAATAATAATAAAATACATGTTTCTTGATGTAACATTCTTTGAGGATCAATCCTACTATCCCAAATCTGCCCTTTAGGGGAGAATATGAGAAAGGCAACTTTGGGATTTTACAACTTTACTTCCTTTTATCCTACAATCCATCGACTCCACCAAGTCCTGTTTATAGGCATATAGAGGATCCTAATTGATTCCTATTGAAATCAATTTAGTCCAACTTAAATTAGGATTCCTATTGACACACAGTTTCTTCGTGATCACAATTAAACTATGGTGGGGTTTACGAACTGGACAATAACAAGCCTTTATCTATTTATTTATGGTGGGGTTTGGTACTTTGGTTAATAGAGGAAGTGGCCTTCTTATGCCTTAAATCGACAATTAAACTATGCTTTTGTCTGTGGATGGAATCCAGCATCAAAGTGCAATCCAATCCAATCCTATGGTAGGCTATGAAATCAGACATCAATCCAGTGGAGGCATCAAAGTCGAAATAATGGCCATTTTCTACACATTTTCCATTGCTAAAATCAGCCTAATCACAATCACAGCGATATTGATTTTCTCTAATCCTTTTTCAACTGCCACTAAAACTGAAATTACCTCTAGGCCGT